ATCTTCATTTCACTCGATTTATTTTTCAATATATGAAGTCAAGATAAAATCGAAATACACAGTTTTGTACAGAATTTCACGCGCTATCTAATGGTATGTTCACTATTCTCAAAACATCCTTTTATGGTATCAAAAGAGCTTAAATACTGAATCCAGCTTTTGCTTTCCAGGGGTATATATATATATATACTCTAATTAATTATATGTTCTTCAAAATTATTCTACCTTTGTCTGACGAAGGCGTCTTTGACACAACAACTTTGACATAACGATTAAAATAACACAAGAAAGAGTATTCAGAAATACCCAAATTTATACAAGAGGGAATGTATGCAAAGCAGTCAGTGTACATAAGAAAGTAGAAAAAAATGGCAAGAATATCTTGACTGACCGGAAGCCGCTACGAAATGACTCGGACTTGAGAAGATATTTCATATCTAAAACTCGATTTATAGTTCTCTCCTTTCGATTCTTAGATAGTGAGTGAAAACATCTTTTTTATACAGTAACTTTTAAGTTTAGAATCAAATAAGTTAAGCTTAAATTTTCTCACGCGGATTTTGCGAAAATAAGTTTAAGACTTTAAGCGTCTCTTGTAACACTTATAGTTATTTCAACGTAAATTTTTTTCACGGGACAGACGGGTTCGGGACAACAATATTTGCTCACGGGCTTACGAGACGGGACAAAAATGTTTTTGTTCGGGCTCGGGGCAACAGAAAAGTTTGGCTCGTAGGACTCTAATCGGTATAGTCCCATCCATATCCAACATAGTCTTTCTTGCTTTCTCATCTCTCTCTTTCGCTTTGCACTGACCACACTGTCTTCTTATAACAGAAAGAACAGAACAGGTTGCAGGGGGAAAAGTGCAGGACTGAAAAGTTATCAGAAACTCGTCACTTGCAGGACACTACTTCTAGCTATTTTACTTTTTGGCTCGCCACAGTCTCGTGAAATATGACCAGTTTGATAACAGTTGAAGCAGGTTCCTACAAAACAAACAAACGTTGGAACACACCATTGAAAACATTATGCTCATTTATGTACTTGAATCTGAACCATTTCCGCCGCCCCGATTCCCACCACGTCCTCTTTGTGATCCTAGAAGGTCACAAAAATCTTACATTAGTAAAAGAAAACGAAAACCAGATCGCAACAGGGATAGATGGAAAGGGGTCACACATAAAGGACGTCTATAGCTGGGGGAGTCAGTAGGAAGTGAATAAACTCGGACAGGCGGGAGTCGAGCGCTTGAAGACGTCTATGTCCGAGATCCTTTTTGATTTTTTTTTGACATTTTTTTATCAGAATTAGTATTTTCATCCCCCTACGAAGTTAACAATAGTAGCTAACCTGCAGAAAAGAACCCAACTGCCGGCTCTAAAAATGTTCTGCATGTCTTTTTATGAGACCCGCAGGCCCGTAGCCAAGATTTTGCTAAGGGGAGTGCACTATAGATGTAAGTCGATATACCGGGTTTTCTTGCATTTTGTTTTGTGAGTGTACCGGTTCTGATTCCAGTACAGTCGTCTGTACGACAGCGACCGGTCCGCAAAACTAACAGGACACAAAAGGATCTTCATACCCTTTTGCATCAATAAAGCGCGCGAAAAAAATGTAGATATCTTCTGCCACAATTCATTTAAGCAACCGAAGTAACTTTTTAGGGATTGGTAAAATATTCTTTTGTTCTGGTTCACGCTGTTTCTTAGAGGCTATCTCAAAAGAAAGTTTGTCGTGCGTCTAAGTACACCTCTGTATTTTATCGAAGATAGACAAAAAACAACTGGTTAGCTAAGTAAATGTGAGAGAAACATAGTTCTACTCATTTGTTGCTGAACTTGATACGCCGTTTTGATAGGAGTTAAATAGCAAGTTTTACTTATGGGATGTGTCGGGCACAACGGGCACCCTCCCTGGCTACAGGCCTGACTCACAGGTGAAGTCACTATAGACTTGTCAGACGACTAAGAAAAGCCAACATTTGGACGTGTGAATCATTAAAGCTTAGCTTCCCAAGACCTCATCTTTAGACGCTATATTCTTGCGAATGAGTGATGGACAGTCCTTTACTATGAGTTCTCAAGAACACAAAATCCTAAACATTCTCACTGGAAACTGTTTCTTAAAGCGTTGCATCATAGGGAAAAGCGGAACAGGTGAATAAGAAAAAAATCATCTGACAAGCATGTGTAAGTCTGCCCTACAAAATGCACAAATCAACAAATTCAACGCACTGCCTGAAACTTGAAATCTTCCGACAGAGCGTAGTTTATAACACACTTTTTTCATATCACCGACAAAATCTGATTGTTTATGAGCGTCTATGAATGTTTTTAGGTGCTCTTTACTGTTTTTTCTAAATGTTGCATTTTGTTTTGATTCAATAAATAATACAGTAACTGTCTGTATTACAAATACAAAATGAATGACAGAGAAATTGTGGGAATATGTACTACGAAGGAAAGGGGAACCGGAAACATGAGCACGGAAAGATGAGCACGGGAAAGTCGAGCAGTAGAAAATATGGGCACTGGGAAAATTGGGCACGAGGAAAGTGGAGCAGGAGGAAAGTTGAGCACTAGGAAACATGAGCACAAATTTATAGTTTATCCATTAAATTTTTTGTATCATAAACAGTTGAAAAAATTTAAGATAAAGTTAATTTAATCAACTTATTCAATATACTATTATATGAAATATTTAAATTTTTTCAATCAAGAAAGAAATATTTATTTTATAAACAAATATTATGTGCAGTATTATTTAGTTGCATAAGAATACCATCATGTGGATGCAATAAAAGATTTAAAAGACGTCGTTCAAACCGTATCCTGTTTATTCATTGTACGATATCAAAGATCTTCATTAAACTTTCGAAGTTCAGTTTATTAAATTGTCAGCAACTCTATTTTAAATTTTTGCAACTGTCTGTTTTCAATAAATTATTAAAGTTCTTATATTGCTAACTTTTCGACAACAGTATATTAAATAAGTTGATTAAATTAACTTTATCTTAAATTTTTCAACTGTTTATGATACAAAAAATTTAATGGATAAACTATAAATTTGTGCTCATGTTTCCTAGTACTCAACTTTCTCGTGCTCAACTTTCCTACTGCTCATCTTTCCGTGCTCAAGTTTCAAAAAAAACTCTGCTGTTCACCTGCTATTAGAAAAATGCGCACTGCATGTGAAGGAGTGCACAAACTCTTGCGTTCTTGCCGACGTCATGCATGACTGACTCCATAGTAGCCCAGATTTTCTACTGCACGGACAAACTCACACTCTTAGCTTGTGCATAACAAACCTCTGGCATCTCATACATACTAATATTATTTGACATGTCATTTTCATCATTCTCCCAATTCTTTGAGCCAAAATCCGAAAATCCACCTCGGTTCGATGGTTCTTCATAGCGGCCTGCTCTATTTGAGCTGTATTCTTGTGATGCTATAAAAAAAGGAGAAAACACGTTGATTTGTCACTTAAACGTGTCATTTACTTCTCGCTACAGGCC